AGTAAATGAAGGTTAAATTTTGGTCTTCTGGTGAGGGTGGTTTCATCTTTAATTGTAATCTTCTGTCAAAGGAGAAGCAAAGCCTCCCATTGTAGCGGCTTATTTGGAAATGTTATTGCTTTGGACTACAAATCCCAGAATTCCCTGGCTGGCTGGCTGGCTGAATCTGGAATTTGTGGTCCAAAAAGTAACCTTTCCAAGTTCTGCTTATTTGTATAGCCACACAAGTACACTGTTCTTTATCACATTGCTGAACACACAGCTTCTTGTCTGAGGCACTTATGTGTTGTTTGAGGCAATTCACAAAATGGTTTTGTAAGCTTATCGCACGACACAAACAAGAATGGGAATAGAAAGGAATGGAACGGAACAGGGCCAAAGCACATTTTACTGGACAGGAAAACATCACTGATGCCGCCGGGAGTCTCCAAGGCGTCCCCAGCCGTTCCTGGCAGCCTTTCAAAATCGCCCTTTAGGCGAAAAAGTACTGGAATATTATTCATAGAACTATTGAAGAAATTTTGTTAATGCGATTAGATATGGACCCTAAGTTATATTTATTAAATATATGTGTAGATAATGAATTAGAGCGCAAATATCAGAAACTTCTCTTTTATATGACTATTAGTGCTAGAATTGTTTATGCAGGCAATTGGAAAAATGAATCGATCCCATATCAGGAAGAATGGTTGTATAAATGGTTTGATTTGATACAACTGGATAAATTAACTATTATGTTTATGGGACGAGATTGGGAAAAAAGTGAAAAAAATTGGGAACTGCTACTCAACTATATTAAGAATAAAAGAAGGTTAATAAGGACAAGAAGTATAATAATGAGAATAACTAAGAAAGTGTAGAGTAAAAATTATGTACAGTAAACACTACTTTTTGATTTATATAGTTTATGTATAGCTTAATTATATTATATATATAGATTATATCTTTGTTTTAATCTTAAAATAAGGGGAAAGGTATTTATTAGTGTATGATATGGAAAAGGACTTGGCTAAGGATCCAAGAAGTTTTTTTTCTGTTTTTTTTTCCCCTTTGTCTTTTGTTTGTATGTCATGTTTTGTATATGGTATGTGTCGTGTACCTGTAGGTATATTGGTATGCATGTATGTATGTATGTGGTTTTTTAATTTAATAAACTTTTTTTAAAAAATTGTCCTTCAAAAATCAGCTGCCAGGAATGGCTGGGGACACCTTGGGGACTCCCAGCAGCATCGGTAGTGTTCTCCTGTCTAGTAAAATGCGTTTTTTGCCCCATTCCGTTCCGTTCCTTTCCATTCCCATTCCTTAAGTGCCGTGCGATAAGCTTATTGGTCTTGAGTGCCTCCTCTGGTGAGCCAGTTTTTTGTATCTCAAGAAATGGATCAAAAAAGAAAAGCTTTGTATCAGGGCAGGCCAAAGCATTTTTACAGTAATAATCAGATGTCCAAATGGACTCCTGGTTCTATCTTTTGGACACAGAGGCTGCATCCAGACTGGAGAAATAATGCTGTTTGGCACCACTTTAATTGCCATGGCTCAATGCGATAGAAGTCTGGGAATTGTTGTGGCACCACAACAAAGCAAAGCTCTGGTGCACCAACAAAGTACATAGCAGTTAAAGTGGTGTCAAACCGGGTTATCTCTCCAGTGTGGATGCAGCCTCAGTGGAGATAAATGGACTTTAATCAAATGGACATACAGTCGTCCCTCCATTCTCACGGACTTCAAGTCTGTGGTTTTGCATATTTATGGAGGGGCAAGCTCTGTTTAAATCAATGTGGTGCTGCCTATGGAGCTTGAATATTTGTGAATCTCAATTTTCATCGGGGAGGGGGGGTCCAGAACAGATCCCCCACAAAAATAGAGGGCCAACTGTATACACTTTAATCATTCCCACTCCTGTCTCAATTACTTCTGCAACTTACTGAAAACCAAGAATGAATATAAACCTCAAATAGATGTCATTTGCAATTCCAAATCAATTGTGCTTTTTAACCATTTTTCTAAGTTTTGATAGGAGTTGTAATAATTTTCCTTTTTAATTCAGGTTCTTTTCTGGTGCTGGGCAAGATAATAAAAATTGTTAGGATACTCATGAATGTAAATATTTTTGCAACTCCTTAACTTCCTTCTTTAAAAAAACAAACAAATCAACTATCATCCAAATGTCAGGACTGTGCATAATGGAGAAGCTTCCACACATGAACCCTTCAACTGGAAGGATGGACTTACAGTAACAGTTCCTTTTAAATATATCTTGAGGAAAGCCTTGACATATAGAACAAGAAAGGAGGCAACATGAGGAGATACAGGGGAGCAGGAATTGGTGTCTAAATGGTGAAACAAGTATTGGCCCTAATAAGAATGACACATTTTGAGCTCTGGTTAGTGCAGACAAGCCAGTGTGGTGTAATGGTTTGAATGCTGGACTCTGACTGGAGACCAGAGTTCGATTCCCAGCTCAGCCATGAAACCCACTGGGTGACCTTGGGCAAGTCACATGCTCCTAGCATCAGGGCAAGGCAATGGCAAATCCCCTCTGAGCAAATACTGCCAGGAAAACCCCATGACTTTAGGGCCATCAGAAGTCAGAAACAATTTGAAGGCACACAACAGCAACAACATAATCTAGTAAAATATCTTGGGCAAGAACAAGTCACTGTTTAACATCAAATAATGAATATTTGACATCAAGAGATGTATGCAAGCTTTCCCAATCAGTGGCGAGACAGTCCAAGACATTTTGCTGCCTAAGGCAAAGAAAAAGGGACACCGCTCTTGAAGATACAGAAACCAAAAATGGTCTTGCACTTGAATCTTACTTCATAATCAGTAATAAGGCAGCACTCTCCACAAGCTTAGGGAAACAAGAGAGGCAATATGACATATATAGGGCTCTAGCTGGTCTTCATCCTTCAGCCTCTGCTGCCTGAGACAGATGACTCATTCTGCCTGATGAAAAGGGCAGCCTCGTTTAGTGGACAATTCTACTAAATAAAATTTGGATTACTCTGTATGCAATTAATCTTCAGAAGATCCATGGCAGATGATACCAAAGAACTACAGTTTCGTGGATTCATATGCCTTATCAATCTCTCTAAAATGTAGACTATAAGAGAGGAATGTATTTGTTTTGCCTATCTCCTCACAATTTTCTTTGTCAAAACAGGATATTTATGTTACCTTCAGAAAACTGGACAAGTATTAATAGGGTGGTATCTGCACCATTTTTCATCAAGAAAGGAAGAAAAAATTGGGGCAGAAGAAGTCATATTACCAGTGTAATGCCACATAGATTGTTCAATTCAACTACATTCTTATTGGAGGACCTGCAAAAAGGAGCTCTATTTTCAGAGGTACGTAAACGGGATATGAAATATAACTGGTCCATTACAGTATTCACAAAACAGGATGATGACATTTCATTAACATAGGAAATGATGTGGTTTTACATAAGGCCCAATAAATAATAAACCAATAAATCACCAGGAGCAGATGATATTCCAATCGAACTGATATACCGCATTTTCCGGCGTATAAGACTGGATGTATAAGATGACCCCCAACTTTTCCAGTTAAAATATAGAGTTTGGGATATACTCACCGCATAAGATGACCCATCTTCCAACGCACACCAAATAAAAATTACAAAAACATCAGA